TTGAGGTTTTTTTTTGGTTGTGGAAAGCAGGTGCTGATGTAGGCCTCTGGTAAAAGCAAAGTAACAAAGTGAGCTTTGGGACATTGGGGGACACTTGAAATTGCCCCTGGCGCTGTCGTAGTTCTTTCCCACCATCGACTCTGCCGCCTGGTGCCCCCCAGAGGTGGTGGCTCTAAACTGTTGCTCAGTGCCGCGTGCTTGATTTCTCCCAGGTAATGCGTGAAATGTGTATATGAGGGGGGTGAAAGCAAATGCTTGAAAATGGCTTTGAGGGATGGTTTATTTTTTATTTCTGAACTGGTTTCCTGAGGGTGAGTATGTCTAGGTGCAGCCAGTGCAGAAGGCAGCGGGGATCCTCTGTGGGGGCGTCTCCATCTCTGACTCTCCCCATGTTGAAGTACTTGTTAGTTAAGCACTCCCCCCCCAGGCACATACGTCGTTCTTCAGGACAGTTTTAAACTGTAATCATTTACAGTAGGTCTGTGCTGACTTATTTTTTGGTGTCAAAACAGTTTAACGGGACAATCTGTTTACTATTATAGCAACTTTAGAAATACACATCACTTAGGAAAAAAACGAAATGAATGAAATCTGCTTTGCGATCCTCGCAGGGCTAATGAGAGGCTGGCCGAGATGAACACTGAACTTCAGCTGGAGAAACAGCACAAGAGTTCTTTCCTCGGCTCTGTTCCCGCACGGCCTGTTGATAGACCGCCTGCTGCTGAAAGTTCTAGTACTGCTGAAAGTTCTAGTACTAGCGTGGAGCCCGAATGGAGTCGTCTTACTCGAAAAAGGCGCTTCAGGAATTTTCCACACCCTACAACCAGCATGAGCGATCTGTTGAAGGTTAGTTATTTTATCTTCTTTCCCTTGGGCTTCAGATTTCTGATATAATTCTTGTTTTTAATTTGATGAAATTCTGAGTTGTTTATTTGACTTACGCACACTAAGTAAAAGCCATAATTAATTGTGCTAATGAAGGAGACACAAATTTTATTTTTAAAGTCCCAGGACTTGTAATTTTCAAGAGATACCTGTCATTAACTTTATTCAATAAATGCAACTAAAGTGACAAATTTTAAAATTCTTAAAAAGCTCCATTTTAAATTCTATTTTAGAAATTAAGTATTATTGCCTAATAACTGGAGATACACTTTCCAGTGTTTGGCTTAGCTTCTGATTGATTTTCGTTTGGCATTGGTTCATAGTCATTTTCAAGTTTTGCTGCACCCCAGTTTATCTACCCCTCAGCATAAGTAAATGATTGGCATCGAGATACTTAATCACATATGGATGTTTTTTATTTAAAGGAACCCAAGGTAAATTCTTTTTATGAATTCAATAAACTTGTAACGCTAAAAACATTTTCTGTTTTGAAGTTTAAAATTTTTATCATTTCCTTCTGTAAGAGTACATTCTTAATTACTATTTTACTTACAGCATTGTTATTTTAATTGTTATAAAATGTCTTATTGAGCAATTGTAGAACATTTCTAAAGATGTAGTCAAGTAAAGCAAATATTTAAGTTTTTAAAATGAAGTTCGCTTATGTCTCTGTCTTGCCCTCACCTGCAGGAATACCGAGGTGGCAACGATAGGGAGTCTTTAAATTACAACCAGTTTTCGTTGTGTATCGTTGTTAAAATAGCCATTGAAATCGGTGCGCGTGGGTTTATGGTTTGATGATGTTTTCATGATCTTGATGTAGAGAAGGGTAGCACGGGCCCTTGTTGAGTGAGGTCTCAACCTGCTTTTTCTCACTTGGCTTCATGTCATAATAAATCAAAGAAGAAAAGCTCAGGTTTCATAGACAGTGTTGTGGGTAAATTGAGTGTAAGTGCTTCAGAGTCATGAAACCGGACTGCGTGGTGTTAAAAAAAAATGCATGGCTAACACTTCCATCAGTGGCTAAGCATGATGCAAACTCGAAATGTTTTCATTCGTTGTCACCAAAAACTCACGAGTGTGTCACTTTACAGGATGATGGTGAAAGAGTGTGAGTGCAAAAGCAATGCAGGAGAAGACTCCTGAGGACAGTTGTTTCCTTTAATGTTTTTGGAGGAAAGAGGTGTCTGTTTTTTAGTACTTCTAGGTACACAGGAAAATAATTTATTTTAAACTCAGTGTTGTAGTTCCAAGGTACACGTAGTTCTTCTGTGGGGCCGTGGGGCCGAATCATGCTAGGTTGAGCAGGGAGGTTAACAAGCCCCGCTCTGTCCAGGTGCAGAGACACGGCTCCCTCGGCGCTGCCTGGCGCCTCACAGGAGCTATTATTGTACAGTTACTGCTTACAGATTTCTTAGTAGACTTAGAGAAGGAAGATGCCTTGTGGAATTGCTAGGGATGTAATTACTTCTGCTGGGAAAACATAAAGTAATGCTATGGAGCTGTGAACATACTGTTTAAAATGACAGAAAGGGATGGGTTTTTGCATGGGGCTTAACAAAACAACAGACTTCCACAGCTTTTCAGCTATGGTTCTAGAAAGCAAAATGTCAAAAATGGCATTGAGATTGAATGTAACATTCTCCTTTATGTGCAAGGTTTTAACATTTTGGACTGTTCCTACTGTGAAGTTCCAGCTTACTCAGCATTTTTTTTTTCTAACTTGACAGAAGTATTGCTCTAAGTCTGTGATTTTAGTCATGCTGGTGGTCGAAGCAAGTTTTTTCCAGTTCATAACACTTGGGTTTATTGCCTCTCTTACTGTTGCATGAAGTACAGCCTTGTCCCTTGACATTGTTGTAGTGGTAACAGATGGGACCCCATATCTGCTTTGCCAGTTTGTACCCTCAGATTTCACATTCTAGTTATTTCTGGGATGTTTTGTCCTACATGTCAGAAGCAATTTTACAGTTTTACTCAATTGTGTTATTTAATTATGTTACTATAAAATACAAAAAGTTAAAATTAGCCTGAGCAGATACGTCACTGTTAGATTTTCTTGCACATAGAATTTTTTTCTGAGAACTGAAAACTTAAAAATTGATCCCAGACAGTATTATAACAGACAAAATTTCTCTGTTTTAAAGACTTTTTTATGTTCAAGAGCTTTTAAGTATTGGTGTGCCTAACATGAAGCATGGCCACAATAGTTAATAAATGTCCTTCAAATCTATTTTAAATAGGAAGACTAAACTTTACACTCACCGATTTTGGACTTTTGGTGTATTACTGACACTTTCAAACATTTTCTAATGACTTATTTAACTAATTTTTAAATTTCTCAAATGTCCATTCAGTTTAGCAGCCCCTTTTCTAAATGGGATTATACCAGTGCACCAGAGCTAAAACGATTAATATTCCTAAGACTTTAACTTTTTACATGACATGACACAGCACTGCATCTCAGCAGGATCTGGTCACGTTTCTTTTAAAAGTAGGCTTCCAAGGCAGCGCACATTCACTCTGAATTTTAATTCTAATCAAACTATCACAGTAGTTAAGCTCACTTCTCATAAGGCAGAGGCAGAGTTCAGTAACCTTGTTTCTGGTATCAGCTCTCTGCCCTGTGGACTCCCTCCTGCCCTCGTTCCATTTTGTCTGAATGGACAAATGAGGAAGCGTGTTATCTTTTGAAAGCCAGTCACTCAGCTTCTTCCAGTTCTTTTTCTTTCATTCACTTTTTTCTCTGTAGTTAATTTTTTAGCTCCTTGATCAACAAATTCTTTATTTCTTTTCTCTGAAGCAAAATACATGTATTTAATAGTTACAAACTGACAAGTGTCATTTCCTTCATTAACCTATTTACAACAGTATGATGAATCAGAGCGGTTAAATGACTTGATTTTATTACATTTCTGGAATTGTACTTATTTTTATAACATTTAAAATAAGAATGATACCAAGTTTTAACTTAAAAGTATCAATAATCTGAAAATATATTCACTTTGGAAATGAACATGTGTGTCTACGTGTGTGGCAAGTCTGTTTTTATCAAATTGATCTCAGAAAGGGCAGCATTATCTTCCAGCTTGTGACCTCAGTTTTGACCTCAATCCTGCAGTGTCCCCAGTGGGACCTTCCATTTCTATGGGACATAGTCTGCAAACCGCCAGTTATGAGAGAATCCTCCTAATTAAAAATCATTAGAATTAAAACTTGCTGTTACATTGTCTTCCTGTGTATAATTTTCTCACCTTACTGTGTTTTTGTTAAATGGAAAAGTTTAAGTAAAACTGCAGGTGCCTTCTCCTTATTAATGTTGGACTTCAGACCACTTCCACCATCAGGACATGGGGGTCCTCACCTAGATATAAGCATAAAGGTCCCAGAAGTACGTGTTTAGGAAAATAGCTTTGCAGAGGAAAAGAGAGTAATCTTACATTCAACTCATGTAAAAGTGTGATCTACATTTTGCATAGTGTTTATTAATGGTTATATGAAATTATTTCAGTCAAGGCTTCTCCCTTCATCTGCTAGGCGTTTTTCACTTCACAGGACCCTCCTGGCACTGTTGTCATGTTGTTGATGGCATAAGGCCTCTCTAGAATGCTCTTGTCAGACAGTGTTATGGAAAACAGTCTCTGAAAATACTGGCAAATGGTAGCCCCAAATTTTGTCTTTGCACCTAACATTTACAGAAGCCTCGGCTCTCATATCGCTGTTACCACCGCAGTGTTTATGTCTGGTGTACTGTTTAGAACCTGTTTAGTGAGCGGGTGACTTTCATAAGAAAGGTTTTTAAAAGAGCACTCTAGATGGGGACACTTGTAGTTTGAAGTGTCCCCACACATTTCATAATTAAATACGTAACTAATTAAGTCAAGTTTCAAAAAGTTGGCCCTAGTCTCTAGAACGGAAACAAAGTTACAGTTAAAGAATTAGGTATTGTTTTCCTTGTTTCTAGCTCTAGGAAGTTGTGAATCAGAAACCAACTTTGAAAACTGGCGCTAGCCTCTCCTTTTCTTCTCTTCAAGCAGATTTTCTGACATAAATATTTTAGTCATCTACAGAGAGCAAAACACATTTGCTTAACTTGTCTGCAAGTAGAATTTTCACTTGACATTATTATAACAGAACCCCTTTCTTCATTTTATGTATCTACGATTCTGTGCTAAAAACATTAGCATAGAACAGACCTTAAAATTTTAGTTTTCTAAAAGTGCAGGAATGGAAAGCTCATTTTAAGGAAAAATCCATTAAAGTTAAAAAAAGCTAAACTTTTACAAAGGGCAGTTTTTCTAAGAACTGCAGAGCAATGAATTCAGTGTGAGACATGACTTGAACTGTTGAAACTCTTCGTGCCAATGAGATCGGGCGTTGCCCTCTGAGATTATGTGCATCGGACAGGGCAGGGCTCACTGTGCTTTCCATCAGGGGAATCTAAGTAGCCTCACAGATATGTGTTCTCTGTTATCTAAAATCAAAGTAAGTAGGAATTTATTTTATTTTATTCATGTGATTATTTTTCTGTTTAAGCAATCCCCACGTTAAGTCAAGTCTCTAAAAGTATTATTTAAAGGCCACATTTCATAAGCTAGCTGTCATTCCTATGATAGTGTTTCTTGTTTCACTTAAACATTAAAAATATTTGACTTATTGCAGATGCGGAAGAAGCTGATAAACAATATATCTAGAGAATTAAAAGAAGGTATGTTGCCAACATTTCTGAATTAAATTTAGACGTTGATTTCTGAAATACACTGTAAACAGTAAATGGCACCCCTTTCTATTGCTTGAATAACAGATACCATGTTAAGCTTTTTTCTTACACATAGCTGATGAAAAATGTGAGCGCATAATTTCATTCATAATGATATATTTATTCCTCATTTATACATCATGATCCATAGCTTTAAAAAAAAAAACTCAAGAAGTCTGTGTTCTCTATTTCTGGCTGTGCCCTTCCTCTCCTGCTGTCCCCATGGGCCTGTCACCTGCACACGGCCCTGTTCTCAGAAAGCGTGGAGGTCATCAGCTTCTCGAGTTCCTGGTAGTGACTGAGGCCAAAAACCCAGACTCAAGCAATCTCGGTTCATATAGCTGTCACCTGGTGGGTGACAATTTCTTGTCATTCACTTTGTCACTGGTTAACCTTTTGCCCTCAGGAAAAATCCCAAATTCCTTAGTTTGGAAGAAAAACACCCACATCGATTTGGCTCTTGCCAGAGTCTTCAGCCGTATCTCTTTTCTCCCCTGCTCTGCCCCTTGGCTCCAGCGACTGGTCAGACTGCGTCCAGCTCCGCGGGTGCCCTTCCTGCCTCTGCTCTTTGTGTTTGCTTCTTGCCTCTCCCTCCCACACTTTCTCCTCCTCCTTCAGGTATCTGCTTACACATCACGGCCACCAAAGAGGGGACAATATTGACACAAAGCTGGACATCCCTTCTGAGTGTTCCAACTCTGCCCTCTTGTATACCTGTCATGGCATTTATGTCTCTGTACCGAAACTGCCTGTTCATCTATTTTGCCAGTTAACGGTACATGATCTTTCAGTTCAGGGTGGACTGTCATCTTCATCTTGTGGTTCCAGTGCTTGTCACAGTGCCTTAGCACATGGTTGCTGAGTAAATGAATGAAGAATGAGAAAACCAGGCGCTCTGATCCTTAGCCACAAGAGCAGTTAATTCAACATGCAGCCCTGGGCAAAGTCTAGAGTAGTAATCTTGTGTTTTGTGTTGTAATCGTATGTAGGTATTTTTCATTCTTCTTAAAACTTGGAAAAGTCTCAGCTTTTCTTAAAAAGTAAACTGACATTTAGTTACCTATGAAGGATTTTAAGTAAAGAATCTAATTCTTTCATTTTCTTT